GGTGTGGCTGGTTGCGGGGAGGTGCTATTCCCCGCACTGGGGGGCCCCTCAGGTGTGGGTGAGGCAGGTGGCCTCAGAATGGTGCCTGTGGGTGGGCTGGGGCCTGTGCCTCCCCCAGAGCTGGTGATGGAGGGTTCCCAAGAGGGCCCAGGGGGACTGGGGGCCTCCACAGTGGCACTGTTCGAGGGCTCAGTTGTTCCTCCAGCCCCTGGGGGACCTGGGGGGCCAAGGACAGCGCTTGGGCTTGCCTCTGCCTCCCCGGCATACCTATCCCAGGGAGGGAGCCACCTTGCCTGGGGACCCCAGATTTCCCCGGGAGGCTCACCTGTGGAGGGGGGTTCCTGTTCCGAGACTTGTATTTCAACAACTGTGGTTGCTGTGCCCAAGGTCACCGTGTTTTTGGCCTCCACCTGGGGTAGGAAAGGCGCCTGTCCCTGCTAGGCCCCTCTTTAGCACCCACAGGCCCACGCCCTTGGAGACAGTCACCTGCCCTCCCCTTCACCTCTGCATAGAAGACCCCCAGGTGTGCCAGCGAAGTGGTGGTCAGCATGAACTCCCCGTCCATCCGGAAGTCGGAGTGGTTGGTGACTTGATACGTGATGGCCGAGTTGAGGTCCTGCGACAGCTCCGGTGAGTCCTGGGCGCAGGCTAAGGCCCATTCCAAACCCACCCACACAGAGGGCAGGCCAGGCAGACCCAGGGACCAGGCAGGGTCTGGGTTCCTGGGCAGGCAGGAGCGGCTGCTGGCCAGGCTGGGGGCAGCCCTTGGTGCTGCTCACCGGGAAGTCCGGGTCCTGAGCCTGGATCCTCAGGAGCTGAGAGGGGGCGGCTGCGTCCCGGACAGCAACGCCCACTCCAGAGCCCCGCGCCACGGTGCCACGGTACAGGCTCTGGGGGAAGCCGGGCAGGCTCCCGGTGGCAGCGAGGACTTCCACAGTGACCTGGGTCACGGAGTAGCGGGCGAGGTCGGCCTGCTCGGCCTGGGGGATGGGGGAGGCAGCAGTGACAGGACGGTGCTGAGGCTGAGCTGTCCTGTGGCCGGGGCTCAGGACGGCCTGCCCGCCCACGCCGGGACCCACCTTCACCACCAAGAGGAAGGTCGTCGGGCTGGGAACGCTCTGCGCCATGGTGAGGTTGCCCGAGTCTGGGCTGAGGGCGAACGTACCATTCACGTTTCCTGGGAAGATGGTGGTGTTTGCCCCTGGTCCCCGTGTCCCAGCTGGCTCTGCCCAAGGTGGGAACAGGGAGGGGTCCGGGCTGTGGTGGGGGCTGGGGCCGGTCTGCGCTCACCACTCAAGATGCCATAGATGATGCGCTGGTTGAGGGACCGGTCCCCGTCCTCAGCGTAGATGGGCCCGGGACGCAGGACAAGCGGGGCCGGCTACGGAGGGTGGAGGGAGGAGCACTGTGGGGCTGGTGCTGATGGCCCAGCTCCTGCACCCCTCCCGGTCAGCGGGGGCGGGGCCTCCAGGACCAGGGAAGGGTGGGGGCAGCGGCGGGTGTGCGTCCCTCTTCTGTTGTCCCGGCCCCATGGTCAGTAACGTCCCCGACATTCCGATCAGTTTAAACTACGCTTGTCTTGACAGGCGAGCAAACATTTAGGAAGGGGGATTTGCAGGGAGCCCTGGGTCTCCCCTGTCGTGCACCACGGGGGCTCGGTGCCCTGAGGGTCTGCAGACGGCCCGTGTGGCACCCGCAGGGCTGTCAGCTGGGCAGAGATGTCGCCAGGCCTTGGGAGCACTCACTAGCCCAGCTCTGCCCCGAGGACAGCGGGGCCCCTGTTCCTGGCCGTGATCTCGGGTCTGTTCATCTCACGGCCGTGCAGCGTGGGAGGGTTCGTTTACCAGCAATGTTCACGTTTGTTTCAAAGTCACAAAATTGGCAACAATGCTCCATCAGGGAACCCTGGCCCCGACCCCAGTCCTGACCCTGAGTCTTGGGGACCCAGCCTGGCCCTGACTGCAGCTCTGCACTGGCCCCAACCCTCTCCTGACCCTGGGCTACCCCTGCGTCACCCCCGTTACCAGCTTGTGTCCCGTGGGGACGGCCCCGCGGTACTGGGCCTGCAGGCAGACGTAGCCATCCGAGAAGGCGCAGGGCAGGAACCACGGGGGCCGTAGGTCGGCCGGCAGCACCTGCAGCACCAGGGTGGCGGTGGCCGTGTGGCTGGGCTCTGCGTTCTCCTCCGCCGTGTCCTGCAACAGCCCGCCCTGCTGGCTCAGGCCTTGGAACAGCTTGGGGGGACCTCGAGTGCCCAGGACTCGGGGCAGAGTGAGCTGCTCACCCGCACCAGCAGCCGGAAGGTCATGTTCGGCCACTTGTAGACGTCCAGGGGCCGGTCCAGTCTCAGCACGGGACGGTTGGCACCCAGCAGGGAGAAGAGGTCACGGGCGCCCTGGGGAGGGTGGGGGAGGGCACATCCTGAGACCTCTCGAGGAGGGGAGCAGCTGCGGAGCCAGAGGCCGCTCTGGGACGGGTGGGGCAGCACCGACCACGGTCACTTCCTGGAGGGTGTAGAACAAGATGTCATCTTCGTCGGCGTCCTCGGCCTCCAGTGCTGTCTCAGGGATGACGGTAGAGTTCACTTTGGTGTCCTGCGGGTGAAGAGGGGCTTGGTCCAGCCACGCGCATAGCCCTGCGGACCTTCCTGGAGGCCCAGCCCCCCGCCGCCAGCCCTCCGCAGGCCCCACGCCCACCTCCTCCACGGCCGTCTCCTTGGTTGCGAAGGGAAACACGGGGGCGTTGTCATTGAGGTCCAGCACCGCCACAAACACCCTCAGCTGGGTCACCTGGGGAGGGCGTCATCAGCCTTTCCCTGCCGACCCCTCCCCAGCTAGTCAGCAGATGGCGGGGAGGGCCTGCAGTGCAGCTGCACAGCTCTAGGTGCCGGACGTGGTGGCCGGGACGAGAAGTCATTTATAAAGTGCTCTGGAGAACCAGCAAAATCTCAAGTGAGAAAAACTGCAAAACAATTGAGTTTCTTCAAAAATAAGTCTCCAAGAAAAAAGAACAGAGAGGAAAACCTACAGATTAAAAGAAACTTAAAAAGCCACAGCGGTGGCTCACGCCTATGACCCCAGTGCTTTGGGAGGCTGAGGCGGGAGGATTGCTTGTGCACAGGAGTTTGAGACCAGCCTGGGCACCATAGCAAGACCCTGTCTCTACAAAAAAATTTTAAAAATTAGCCGGCTGTGGTGACACGCCTGTGGTCCCAGCTACTCGGGAGGCTGAGGCAGGAGGATCGCCTGAGCCCGGGAATTCAAGGTTGCAGTGAGCTGTGATCATGCCTCTGCACTTCAGCCTGGCCACGGAGCGAGACCACGTTCCAAAACCAAAAAAAAAAAGAAAAAGAAAGAAACTTAAGAGAAATATCGACCAGCTGCATTATTTGGACCTTGCTTGGATCTTGATTCAGACAAAAATTTGCAAAAAAGACCCTCTGAGACAAGGAGAAGATGCTGCCGCTTCCTGACATTCAGCGGTGAGGGGCTGCTGCCCTTCCCAGGGGTGCCATGGTGTTATGTTTAGAAGTGCCCTTCTCTGTTAGAGACACTCCCTGAGTGTCTGCGGGTACGGCGCCGTGAGGCGTGCGTGGGGGGGGCCGCTCCCCTCCGCAGCATCCCCAGTGAAAGGCGGGCAAGTGAAGCGGGCGGGCGGGAGGGCTGCGTGGGGGGTGCAGCGCAGCACGGCGTGGTTGGGGGTCCCCCGAAGAGGCCATGCGTGAGCACAGACGTGAGCAGGTGAGCGGAACGCCCACACGGGCCAGGGGCACCAGTTCAGCCTTGACTCCGTGGGAGGTGAGGGAAGAGGGAGATTCGGGGCGGGGCGGGGCTCGGGAGGCCCCAGGGGGACGGCTCTGCCTGCGGAGAGCGGTCGGCGGAGTGGACGGGGCAAAGGTAGCAAGTGCACCGGTGGAAAGTTCCCAGAAAGGAGTGCGGGTGCCCAGAGCCTGGTGGGGGTTGGAGGTGGGAGAAGTGGGGGTTCTGGGTCCGGCCCAGGCAGGGAGGGCAACACCCAAGGTGCCTCCCTTGCCGGGGGCGCAGGGGAAGGGGTGGGGGTCTCGGAGCCGCTGGGTGGGGTGTCTGCCCGACAGCTGTCAGGGACAGGACATGCACGGCAGGCTCCTGAGTCGGCAGCTCAGGACGGAGTCTGGCTGGAGGCAGTGTGACGTTTGACAGCACCTGGATGAGGTCACCAAGGCACGGCCCTGGCTGGGCAGAGCGGGGGCGGGACTCACCAGCACGCCCCTCCTCTTGCACTCCAGGTGAGCCTGCAGCAGCGGGTTCTCCTGTGGAGGCAGATGGGCCTCGGGAGTCACCTGCCCAGCAGCCGCAGCCGCTGTCCCCATCTCACGAGTGGGGAGACTGAGATCGAGGGGGCAGGTGCCAGCCCAGGGTCCCCGTCATCTCCTCGGTGCTCAGGCCTCAGGGCCCTGGCTGCTTCATTCCCAACGGCCCCGCCTGTTGGGGCCCGAGAGGGGTCCGTCGCTGCCCGGGGGGCACAGCTCTCAGGCCCTCCCAGGAGAAGTGTGACCCAAAGATCCCCAGGGGGCCCTTCTCCAGGGAAGGGGTGTGGGTGCCCGCGTGGTCCCGAGGGGGCACACCCACCCGCCTGCAGTCCCACCTCATAATCAGGAGTCACGTTGAGAAACAGCTGGTTCTCCAGGATCCGAAATGCGAAGAGGGTGGACGAGGATCCGAGGGTCACCTGCTGGTCACCCGGGACGAGGATGTCAACCAGGGGCTCGGTGAAGTTCGTGTTCTCTTCGATTTCGAAGAAGGTCTTGCTCACAGAGCAGACTGCGGAGTGGCAGAGGACGGTGGTGCCTCCAGTCCCCCGCCCCCGCCCAGCCCTGCCCCCCCGCCCAGCACCTACCCTGGGCCTGGGCCTCGGCCCCCGGGGGTCGACCAAGCAGCGCCATGAGCAGCAGGGGGGGCCACGGCTGGGCCCAAGCCCCCATCTTGGCTGCCGGCACCTGGCAGGAGGGTGTCAGCCGGTCTGGCATGCAGACCGCGCAGTTCCTGCCTCGGCGACCTTCGTCCCTGCCAGGCACCGCCCCAATTTATGACCCTTTATGGCTGGCCTCCACCAAGGGGGCTCCCACCAGCCGGCCCGGTGCAGCTGCAGCAGCGAACGGACGTGGGGTGGTCATGGGGCCCAGGCTGGGCCCTGTGTGGGGTCAGCTGGGGACTCGGCCCGCAGGCACCGGCGAGCAGCTGAGGCCGCTCAGAGTGTGTGCCCGGGGCGGGCGGGGCGGAGGGGCTGGGGAGAGAAGGCGCCTGCCGGGGGCTCAGCCTTCTGTCTGGATTTCCTGTCCCCAACCCAGGCTGTGCTCTGCTTGGCTCCTCCCCTAGAATCGCCTTCAGGCAACGTCCCTAAGGCCTTGCGGTTCAGACCCCAGGTGCCCCCTTCCGGGCCCACTCCCCCTGCGCGCACTGCCCATCCAGGTCCCAAGGGAAAGGCTCTTTTGTTTGTGTCCTGGGGACACCAATGGCCGTCCTGGAAACCGGGTGGCTTCCTCAGGGTGGAGCTGGGCAGGACCACGGTGACAGAAATGGCAGGGCTGTGAGGGGTAGCTGGGGGCTCCTGGGGGTGCCCCACAGAGAGGGGGAGTCTGGTGGGGCTCCCCACCTGCCCTGCCCCTTTCATTGGCCCCCAAGCCCCACCCCCAGCAGCTGGGGAGAGGCCACTGGGCAGGGTCAGGAGGGAGGAGGGGCTGTCTGACCCCCCTTGGCACCTGCGCTCGGTGTGCCGCAAACACCTTCCCTGAAGCTGCTGGCCTTTCTCTGCCGGTGCTTAGCCACGCCGCTCAGTTTCCTGACCTGGGCTGTGCCCACAGGGGCCCCTGCAGCCCCCCCACTCGGGGTCATTGCCGTCCCTCCCCCACGGGCTCCAAATGGTCAAACCCTGGCCCAAGACCGCAGAGCCGGGACATGCCGACCTAAGACTTCCAGCCTGGAGTCCTCGCTCTGGAGGGGGCTCCTGGCATCCTGGGGGGGCCCCCACCTGCCACCTCTTCCTGCCCCCCTGAGTGTCCGCGCCCCTCACACTCTCCCCACCCCTCCTCCACAAACACTGCCCGTGTGGCCCCCGGGGCAGGAGCCGGGGGGTGTCCTGAGACCCTGAACGTCTGCTAAGCGCATGACACTGGCGTGGGGCGCTGGGAGCTCAGTCCATGGACAGGAGGTGGCCCTGATGCCAAAGACAAGGCCAAGGTGCCCGCTGGCTTCTCAGGTTTGAAGAGCAGCTGGGCGTGGTGACGGTCCTTACGTGGGACGCATGGGGCCCTTCCACCTGACAGCCCCACTGCGCCCGGGCTGGGCAGAGGTGGATCGCACTGTGGGGCCAGGTCTGAATTCTTCCTTTATTGGTGCCAAGTACAAGTCCCCTCCTCCCCCCTCCTCTTCCCCCGTCCAGGCTCCTTGACCTCGGCGGTGGCGAGGGGGCTCCTTCCTCCCCAGGGCCTCATCTGGGCCGCCGGGTGCCTTCAGCAGCAGTGGTGGCCGGTTCCGAAACCCTAACCCCAGATCTCGGCCCCGCAGGCAGCCAGGGAGACCAGGTCCGGTCCAGGGGGGCCCTGGGCGGCATCCTGCGGAGACAAGCGTTGGGGGCTGGGCACTGGAGCCGGGGACGCGGCCCACCTGCGAGACTGGGCCTTCCCCGGCCACCAGCGCTGACCCAGGGGGCCCCGGGGATGGGAGGATCTGGGAGAGGGACTCCCAGGTGGGGTGGGGTGAGGCGCACTATCGGGGTGCTCACCAGGCCAGCACGGGGGGCGGGTCGGACCACAGCAGGCAGAGCCGGCGCTCGGCGGGCGTGGACCAGGCTGTGATGTTCTCTGTGCCCTGCTCGCTGCCCCCCAAATCAGAATTAGTCCTGGAGCTGGCGTCTGACGTTGCCGACGGGGGACGCTAGGCCGGCCTGTCCCACTGAGGGGGCCCCCGACCCCGCAGGTCTCTCCCTACCCTCGGGTGCAGCCGGACGCCCACCCGCGCGCCCTCACCTGCGCTTCCCCACCAGGCCCTGGAGCAGCCGCTGCAGCCGCGCGCCCTCCCGCAGGCGGCTGAGCTCGCTGGTGAACGTCCCGTCCGAGTGTCTGCGGGCCCTGGGGGCGGCGGACCAGGCGGGTCAGGGCCACGCCCGGGGTGGCGGGGCGCGGGAAGCGTGGGCCGGGAGGGGCGGGCGGAGGAGCAGGGTCCGGGACGCGGGCTCACCTGGGGGGCGCGGGGCGCGCGGCGGCCCCGAGGAGGAGGAGCAGCAGCAGCAGCAGCAGCGGCGGGGCCCGGGAGGCCATGGCGGGACGGGTGCCAAGCGCTGCCGGCGGAGCCTGCGGCCCCTTTATAGCGGCTCCCGGGAAGGGGGGCGGCCGGGGGGGCTCAGCACCGCCCAGGCTCCAGGCGGCCGGCCGCGCCCCATCGATCTCGGGAAGGTCAGGGCCGCCCCCCCAGCTGTCGCCAGCCAGCCTCCCACTCCCACCGCCACGTCGGCGCCCCTCGGGCTGGGAAGGGGTGGGGGCTCAGCCTGGCGCCCTGGGGCTCAGGAAGGGCTGAGGAGCGTGAAGAGGGGCGTCCTGGCCTGGGGGGCGAAGGGCGTGGCGGTTCGGGACAGGCGGAGGGAACAGCACGTACAAAGCCTCGGAGCCCAGACAGTACGTTGGACACGGGCCAGACTGTCCCAGGGCCAGGGTGGGTGCGGCGGGGCCAGGCGCCTTGGAGCGGGTTCTTGGGCGGGGAGAGGTGGGCGACCGAAGGCACTGGGGCTGCTCCGGCCAAAGCTGGCTGGGAGAAGGGGGAGGCGGCCCTGGCGAGGTCGGGGTGGTGGCTTGCTTCCTCCAGAGCAGCGGAGAGCACCTGTGACCTAAGGCGGGCCTGAGCTCTGTCACTTTGCGGGCTGTGCGTTTCCCATCGAACAGGCACTGCCCAGCCCTGGCACCCACCATTCTCCTGTCTGTCTCTGTGAACCGGCTACTCCCAGGACCTGCAGGCGGAATCACGGCGTTCTCCCCTCTCCGGTCATTCCCCTGATCAGTGTCCTCAAGGTTCGTCCGCGTGTAGCGTTGTCAGAGTTTCATTCCTGTTCCTGGCTGAGTGACGTTCCATCGTGTGGACAGACAACGCTCACTCACCACCTGTCTGTCCTCGGACACCAGGCGCTGCCACCCTGCTGTGGGCAATGCTGCAGAGACCACGGGTGTGTAAATGGCTCTTGGAGATCCTGCTTTCACTCTCGTGGGTCTAGAGTTAGGAGCGGAATTGCTGAGTCACGTGGTAATCCTATTTTAAACACTTTGAGGAAACGTCAAACTGATTTCCACGCAGCAGGTGAAGTAAGAGTCCAGCTCCTGTCCTTTGCATGTGGGTACTCCGTCGTCCCAGCACCGCTTGTCGAAGAGATGCCTCCTTCCTTTCGAAGGGCCCTGGCGCCCTGTTGAAAACCAATTGCTGAGAGACACGCGGTTTCCGCGGAGACTCTCAGTTCCCTGCAACTGTCTGTCCTTCCGCCGCTACTGCACTGGTCCAATGCCCGAAGCTCTGCCATGAGTTATGACAGTTTGGAAAAGCTTTGGTTTTCTTTTTCAAGATTGTTGGTTACTTGCGGTTCCTTAGAATCTCACATGAATTTTAGGATTGGCCTTTTTCCATTTATGCAAAAAAAAGGCTTCTGGGGTTTGGATGGAGAGTGCGTCAAATCTGTGGACCCGTCCGGCAAGTGAGGCTCATCGTAACGCTGTCAAGGCTTCCAAGCCATGAACGTTGGATTTATCTATTTAGGTCTTTATTTATTTATTTATTTATTTGAGACAGAGTCTTGCTTTGTTGGCCGAGCTAGAGTGAGTGCCATGGCATCAGCCTAGCTCACAGCAACCTCAAACTGCTGGGCTCAAGCGATCCTCCTGCTTCAGCCTCCCGAGTAGCTGGGACTACAGGCGTGAGCCACCACGCCCGGCTAATTTTTTTTTCTTTCTGTTTTTAGTTGACTGGCTAATTTTTTTTCTATTTTTAGTAGAAACGGGGTCTCGCTCTTGCTCAGGCTGGTCTTAAACTCCTGACCTCAAGCAATCCTCCCGCCTCGGCCTCCCAGAGTGCTACGATTACAGGCATGACCCACCATGCCAGGCCCTAGGTCTTTATTTTCTTTTGGCAATTTTTGTAGTTGTCAGTGTACAAGTCTTTCTTTAACCTTCTTGGTTAAATTTATTCCTAAGTGTTTTATTCTTTTTAATGCTATTGTAAATGGAATCATTTCTTATTTTCCTTTTTGGATTGTCTGTTGCTAGTGTATAGAAATAGAACTGACTTTTATCTGCCGACCTCGTGTCCTGCAACTTTGCTGAATTTGTTAGCTCTAACAGGTTTTTTTAAAATAGGATTTTTCTATACCTAAGATCGTATCATCTGCAAATATAGTTTTACTTTTTTCTTTCAAATTTTGGATGCCTTTAATTTCTTCTTCTTGCCTAATTGCTCTGGCCAGAGCTTCCGGAACATGTTGAACAGAAGCAACAAACGTGGGCATCTCGTGCCTGACCTTCGGGAAAAGCTTTCTATTTCTCGCCTCGGGGTGTGGGTTGGCTGTGTGTTCATACACGGCCTCTATCATATGGATGAGGTTTGTGTCTGTTCCCAGTTTGCTGAGTGTTATTGTCATGAAACGGTGTTGAATTTTGTCAAATGCTTTTTTCTGCATCAGTCGCGATATCGTGAGTTTTTCTCCATCCTATTGCGGTGGCACATGACGCTGAGTTTCATAGGCTGAACCACGCTTGCGTTCCTGGGATGAATCCTGGGTCGTGGTTGTAATCCTTTGAAAATCTCTGCTCTTCTGTAGTATTTTAAAAAGGATTCTGTGCTCATATTTTGTTGAGAATTTTTATATCTATATTCATAAGGGATATTCATCTGCAGTTTTATTTTTTTATATCATTACTGTTGAATTTTGGGAGTTCTTCATGTATTTTATGTACAGGCCATTTGCTGGATATATGATTTGCTAATATTTTCTTTCATTCTGTGGCTGGAAATTTTTAATTTTGATGAAGTCCAGTTCCTCTGTTTTTTCCATTGGTAGCTTGTGCTCTTAGTACCACATCTAAAAACAGGGACTGACCCCAAGTCACAGAGATCTTTTCCCATCTCTTCTTCCAAAATTTTTATAGTTCTAAGTTTTACATTTAAACCTATGATTTGTGTTCATTTTTATATAAAGTGTGAGATTTAATCTTTTATTCTTTTTCTTTTTCTTTTTTTTCGAGACAGAGTCTCACTCCATTGCCCTGGCTAGAGTGCCGTGGCATCAGCCTAGCTCACAGCAACCTCAGACTCCTGGGCTCAAGCGATCCTCCTGCCTCAGCCTCCCGAGTAGCTGGGACTACAGGCACGCGCCACCACGCCCGGATAATTTTTTCTATTTTTAGTTGTTTGGCCAATTTCTTTCTATTTTTAGTAGAGACGGGGTCTTGCTCTTGCTCAGGCTGGTCTCAAACTCCTGACCTCAAGCGATCCTCCCGCCTGGGCCTCCCAGAGTGCTAGGATTACAGGCGTGAGCCACCACGCCCGGCCGTCACTGTGATTTTTATTATGATTTTCATGGTGGCTATAATAGTAAACACTTCTCTCACATGCGCGTTGACCCTCTTTTGTGACGTGCCTGCTCAAGACCTTTGCTTTTGTTAAAGGGGAGTCGCGTGTCTCTTCTTTCCGGTTTGACCGAGCTCTTCACACCCTCATCAGAGAGTGGGACCGCATGCGTCATTTCCCGGTTGGCCTTGCTTTGCACTGTCTTGATGGTGGCAGTCCCATCTTGGGGACCACTTAAAGGAATTCCTGGCGGACCAGAGGCTGGGCTGGCTCACCACTGGATGCCCAGCCCTGCCCAGACTCTGTCCTGTGAGAGAAGAAACTTCTGCCGCCCTCGTCCCTTTTCTCTTGCTCACGGGGTCACAGTGAAGAAGGGCTGCCTGTCCCACAGCCCCGCATGAGAGGGGCTCAGGTGCTGAAGGCAGCTGGTGGCTGGCGGCCTGTCTGCGCCCTCCTCTGGCACTCAGCTTTCCCCTACACACCTCGTAGTGTGACTGTGCGAGTCAGGGTGTCTGGGTCATCTCCGAGTCCTTGTTTTCTCTTCAGTACACACGCTGCCAGCCTGTCAGGCCAGCCGCCTGTCCCCTGATACGCAGGAATCAGCATCCTGGCCACAGGCCCCTCCCTGCGCCTGCCCCGGACCAGGAAGGGAGATGCGGGCCGGGTGTGCGTCCCGCGCCCCGAGTGGTGCAGCTGCGCGCCCACCTGAGGGCCTTTGGTGACAGGGCTGCGAAAATATCTCTCAGGTCATGTGTCAGTCACCCCGATTTTATTAAGTCTGTAGAGAAAATTCTCTCTCTCATATGTTTTCCACGTACTTTCTTTCCATGCCTGGGGCTGTCCTGCCCCCTTCTCTGGCCACCTCTACTCCACAGCGCGTCTCCCTGCGTGCGTCTGGCCCCTCCCGCGGGAGGCTGCGAAGCTCCAACGGTTCTGCGTTGGCAGCCGGGGGCGACGGGCCCAGGCTGGGCAGCAGGGACAGCCCTCGGGAGGGAGCCCTGGCCGTGTCATGTAGCATAGGGAGGGCCGCCCGCATCGCAGGCAAGCAGGGCATCCGCGGGCCAGACGCGCAGTGACTTGCTGGGGTCGGAGGCTTGGGGCTGGGGCGGTGGCTGATTGCCAGGTCGGAGGGCCGGGAAGGAGGTGCCTGCACAGCTCGGGAGGGGAATGCGGCCGACAACCCCCTGCGATGGGTCAGACCGCAGCTGCGCGAGGACAGTGGCGCCCCGGGTGGGGGTGGCGTGCAGGGCCCGGACGCGGTCGGCTGGGTGTCGGCGTGGGGCGTGCGCGCTGGGCCGGGTCGCACCGCGGAGCCAAGGCGGGTCCGCGGGGAGGCGGCAGCTCGTCGTCGCTGCGGGGCGGGAGGTTTCTGCGCGTCTGGGCGAGTGGCCCAGGAAAGAAAGAGGCCCAGGAAAGAGGCCCAGGTGGAGGAGTAGCCCGGCCTCCGCCTCGACGCGCCACCAGTCGGGGCGCGTGCAGGGGGCCGGCGGGACGGCGCTGGCGTCGGTGCCTGCGAGCCTCTGCGGTCTGGTCCGGCCGACCCTCCATCACTACGTGCTTGTCGCGGTGCAGAGCCACGCGGTTCCCCCCGACCGTGCGCGGCAGCGGGCGGTGCCGGGCCTGCCGGCACCAACCACCTCGCCTGACTCCCATCCATCCTTTCGGGCCGTAGCATTTTCCCACCTGCCGGTCTCCCGCAGCGCAGAAGTCCGAGGAGGGCGAAGCCCTGGCGCACGGTGGAGCGCCGCGGG